GTATAGATTTGTAGGGATCCAGATGGAGCAGCAGACCCCACATAGTTTCAGGATCAACTGGGAGTTGATTATTCTTGCAGTCAAGGTCCTCCAGCTCAGGGCACTGAGACCCCTAGGTCCATCATCTGTGTTGAAGACAGAGGCAAAGCAAGCATTAAACACCTCTGCTTTGCCTCTGTCCCTGTTAGGGAGGTGTCCATTCTCATCCTGTAACAAGCTGATGATATTTCTATGCTGCCAGTTGCCATTAATGTATTTGAAAAAATCTCTTGTTATTGTCCTCCACATTTCTGGCCAGCTTCAGCTCCACTTGAGCTTTGGCCACACGAATTTTCTCCCTACAGTGGAAGCAGCATTTCTGAATTCTTTCCATGTCACTTGACCTTGTTTCTACTGGGCATATACCTTCCTTTTTGGCCTTATTTCCAAGAGAAGATGCCTGCTTATCCCAGCCAGCCTTCTGCCTCATCTGCTTAACTTCCAGCATTTGGGAATTGCCTGCTCTGCCCTTAGGAGGTGATGTTTGAAAAGGGACCAGCATTGATGGACCCCAGCACCTGCAAAAACATTTTCCCAGGGGACCTTACTTACTAATTCCCAGAGCAGCCTGAAGTCTGCTCTCCTCATGTCCAGAGCTGAGGTTTTGCTGGCACTTTTCCTCCTGTCAACAGAGATTTTACAGTTGATCACTTGGTGGTCGCTGTGGCCATGACGGCCACTGATCTCCACATTGCTCATGAGATCCACTCTGTTGACAAGCAGCAGATCCAGGAGGGCAGTTTTCTGAGTTGGCTCCCCTAGGATCTATTCCACAAAGTTGTCATACAGATTTTCTAGGAATCTTCTGGCCTCAGTTGTACCAGCTGTGTGATGCTCTCAGTTAATTTCTGACAAGCTGAAGTCCCCCCTAAGGACAAGAGCAGTTGACTTGGAAGTGCCCCTTAGTTCCTCAAAGAATAATTCATTGGCGTCATTGTCCTGGCCTGGAGGTCCAGAGCAGACTCCCACAATGACATCCTCATTGTTTGTTTGTCCCTTGATTCTTGCCCAGAGGCTCTCCACTGTGCCATGGCCAACTGTGAGCTCCACACATTCTAACCCTTCCACTACATTACATACACCCCTCCACCTCTTCTGCCCTGTCTATCCCTCCTGAGGAGCTTGTAACCATCCAAGAGGGCACTCCAGTCACAGGATTCATCCCACCAGGTTTCACTTGTGCCGATGATGTCAAACCTCTGGGACTGGGCCAAAGCTTTGAGCTCATCTTGTTTGTTCCTCTTGCAGCGTGCATTGGTGTAGAAACATTTCAGGTGGGGTACACTGTAGCCAACACCTCTTGAGGCAGATTGAGGGATCCCCTTAAGTGCTGGTTTTCTCAAATTTTGGCACACCATCCCATCTCTCATCACTGGCCAGACTGGTTTTGTCCTTTTCCTCCTTCCAAGCAACTCTAAAGCTCTGTCAACCAGCCCTGACAGCTCCTGTCCTAGAATTCTTTTCCCCCTCTGAGAAAAGTGTGTCCCAGCAGGTGTGAGCAGACCAGCTGTTAAACAGATCATGGTCAAAAAAAACCCAAAATTTTCCAATTATACCAACGTCGGAGCCACTCACTGACGTGATGGATCCACCTATTCTTATAAGTATTATCCCTTGGTACCAGAAGAATCGAGGAAATCACTACCTGTGCTCCTGATCCCTTTACCAATCACCCTAGGGCCCTGAAGTCTCTTTTGATTGCCTTCTGACTTCTCTTTGTTATTTTGTTGCTGCCAGTTTGAACAAACAATAGTGGACAATAATCAGTTTTCCAGTGATGTTCCTTATTTGAGTCCCTGGGAGACAGCAGACTTCCCTGTGGATTGGGTCTGGTCTGCGTATCAGGGTCTCTGTTCCCTTTAGAAGGGAGTCTCCTATTACAACTACCCTTCTTTTTCTCTTGACACAGGAGGTTGTGATGCAGGGTACAGGTGGTGTTGCTTTAGGAGTTTCCTCTATGCCAGAGGGACCTTCGTCCACCTCATCAGTTGTGTGGCCTTCTAGAGCCTCATACCTATTGCAGAAGGTGTCAGTCCTACTTACTAAGTTTTCAGGAGGAAGAACCTTCTTCCTCGTGTATGTGGTGACCTGCTTCCAGCCTTCATCTTCAACAGATCCTTGACTAATAACCTTTTAGGGTTCTGAGTCCACCTGCTTCTCCACTACAATGGAGATTTGAATTTCCTGAGAGTCTTGAGACTGTAGTGTCCCTGAAAATAACAGATCAGTCTGTTGCATGTTCACCCAAATAGCAGGTAGCCTGTTCACTTCTTCCTGTAGCTCCTTCCCCTGGCAACACGGTTCTTCAGCTGCAGCACACCTTCTGAAAATGAACTGTTCTTCTGTCGCAGCCTCACAAAGAGGTGTCAGGCACTCCTGTCAACCTGTGACCTGGAGAGCTGTGACTCCTGTCAGCAGGTCTGGCTGGAGGCCTCTGATGTAGCTGGTCCAGTGACTCCCACAGCTCTAAGGGATTGAGCTTTGCGATGTGTCAACACCATAACTTGTATAACCATAAACTAGTACACTGATAAGACTGGGGCTGGAAGGATCTTTTCACACTTGTTTCCACCACATACTGAGTCTGTTTATCCACCTCTACTAGCTCCTCCCGGGTGGTCAAAGAGGAGCCCATCCTGTGTGAAGAGCTGTGCAAACTGCCCTCACTGTCCTCCCTGTCATACTCTGCCATCACTGCCATGCCCCACGTTGCTCGTGCTCCTTAGAACCATTTAAATTTCCTCCCAGTAGTGTGCCCGATTGGCTGCTGAGTGCTTCTGGGTCCGGATGGGGCTCAGTGCTGGAACTATAGACCAATCTAACCCTCACCTCCAGACTTACCTCAGTTGCCACTGCTGCTTGTGCCTTGCTGACCGACTTGTTTTGTCCACAACTTGCAAGGAAGCAAGGCTACAGGCATAAACCCTGGCAATCAGTTTGATAAAACATTTTGTATTAATTCTTGGAGTTTTCTTCCCTCTCTGTAAACAAAAGTTATTTAGAGCTCCCAGGAAGACTTGGCCCTCTGGTATGAGAGAAAGCCAGGGTGCCCCAGCAGGAACATGCTTTCCTGCTGCCTTTGCCATGCAGAGGTTGTAGGCCCCCTGTGGCACAGCTGCCTATCCCCGACCACTTCTGTGCCTTTGCCAGCACACAGCTGCCTGCTGTGCCAAAGATCTGGCACAGTTCTTTAACATGGCAGAACATCATCCCTGCCTTGTGCTGCAGTTACTGACTTGGTTTTCTGTGTCACCAGGTGAGATGCAGAACTAGCACAGGGAAAGAGCACACAGCCAGGGAGCAGAGCAGCCTGGCAGGCAATGAGATGTTGGGTAAGTACAGCATCACCTTCATGTGCAAAATAGAAGTGTCTGAAAGCACAGTTTCATAAAATCCAGTGAGTCAAATCAGCAACTCTGCCACCACCTATGGGCCTCTGCTGTCTTGCTCACTCTGGTCCTTCTAGGAACTGTTTCACTCACTGCAGTAGCAGAAAACAAAGCAAGCAAGAAAGCCTGGATGGGGTTTCTGGTGATGTTGTTATGTGTTTAGCAGATCAGATCAGCTCATGGTAGGGTTCAATGAGCCAGGAAGGAATGGTGGCTTTGAGTGCAAGGGAAGAGAGATGACTGAGCAGCAACAGCATTTACACAATCTCACACCTTTCCTGTTTTCCTTCCAGAGCGCCACAAACATCACCTAGGAGCTGCAGCTCCTAGGGACTGCATCTAGTACCACTGTGATGTACATGTGACCATTATTGCTACTGTTCAATTTTCCCTGCTCCCACTCAGTCACCATCTTGTGCTGCTTCTTGCTCAGAAGCACCACTCCTCCTCCTGCCATGCTTTCGCTTTAGAAATCCAGCGCTGCTGCCACTTGCAGGCCAGGTGCTGATTTCCCCTGTGTTATGAGCAGTCCCTGAAGCAGGCTGTCAGGTTTTCTTGTCTCAGCAGGGAGGCGCCGTTCCCAGGCACCCTGTTAGTGACAGACAACACTGCGCTTCAGCACTGTAGTCCTGCACTAATAAGCAATATTCACATCCAGGAGACAGCAAGTGCAGGAAAGCAAATCTTCCTCAATAAACAAATTGTAGTTTCACAATTGTCAGGAGTATACATTTAAGTTGGGTACGCAAATAATGTTTTCACTCACACAGTTAATCAGAATTGAAAAGAGTTAGTCAAGACTTAGACAGCAGAAGCTATAGCAAAGTTCATGGACCAGAAAACATTCCTCTAGACATGCCTGCCCACAGGTGATACTTGGCTAAAGCTACTTGGAGCCCAGCAATACCCAGGAAGACAGCACTGAACTGCATCAGAGACCTGCTGCAATCTACAGTGATGGGTGAATTCTCCATAAACTCCCCAGCTCCCTCAGCCTCTCCTCATGGGACTTGTGCTGTTACCACACAGTGAAGACATAAAGACTGTCACTGGAAGTGACATCAACATAAAACTTGCACAACCTATGCAGAGCCACTACCTCAGAGCTCTGCTATTTAAATCCTGCTGAAATAAACAGCCTTCTCTGGCAGCAAAGGACTTCCAAATGAATCTGAAAGACAAGGTTCAGGCTTGGAAACAGACCAAGTAACACAGAAACCAAAGGCTTTGAATTCTGAAAAGGAGACCAGGTGCTTCAGCAGCCAAGCAAGGGCACCCTGGCTGGCCCAGCCACTCCCGAGTCCTTAGAGCACACCACTTCCAAGCTCCTTCCTCATGAACTTATGCCAACCACAAAGTCACTGGGAAGCTTGCTTGGACTTTTGCAGAAAGCACTGGGATGATCTTTCTGACTGCAGTGTGCAGACAGCAGCAAGAATTAATGTAGGAATACCTGACTCAGTTTATACCAGCAACTCATTAAAAAAATACACAGCACACTTGGTTGGCATTGTTTCCTCCAGCTATGCTTCAACATGATGTTTTCTCTCTTTGAGAATAAAATCTATGAAAGTTGCCACATGCCTGGAAACTTCCAGTGAATCACTGAAATTAAGACTGGACAAGGCTTCAAGACACACACCGCCTTTCCTCCCAGCACAGGACAGGCAGGGCTGAAGGCTGTGGCTAAGGTGGTCTCTGTCTGACAGTGCACCATGCAGGCACGGCTGAGGGGCCACCAGCATGGTTCCAAAACGGGCTTCGGGAAAGAGTAGGACAACTCGCAGCACTGGAATACTTTTTAAAAGGAAGCTGATACCAAAGGGGTCAGCTCCAAGAACATGAGAACCAGATACTGTGAACTATGACGGATGTCATTACAAGCCATGTTCTGAGTGCCAGTTACAGACAACTGTGCAATTGACTACATTTAATGACATATCTAGAATTTACGTTTTAATTTTATGAGCTACCAGATGGACAGTTGAACATCACTAAGCAGTAATATGAACAACGGCAGACAACTGAGAACCTAATGATGTAAATAGTTAAACCTTCATCTGTGCATTGAATGTGGACTGTTTTCAGAGAAATTCAAGCCTTCAGCTAGCTCTCCAAATGGTAGAGGCTACAGCTCTTCCCTTGAGCAAAAATGATGATGAAGCTTGAAGTACAGACACAGTACATATTTTATTGACACAGATTTCCTCAGTCTTGAATCAATTAATTCATCTGACAATAGTGTAGTAATTTGAGAAAAGTTCTTCTCCTTGCTGGATGTCTCTGAGAGTGACAAGAACTACACACCTCAGGTGGCTGTAAAAAAAGGATAAGAAAACATGTGAAAGTGAACAATTTTATTTCCCTTTGAATTTTTTTTAATTCTTCATTTCAAGAAGCCAAAACAATGGCTTTGTCTAGATTAGTTTTGGGAGTAATATGCATAATGCAGGGCAGGGAGCATGGAAAAACAACACTGAGATACAGACAGCAAATAAAAATAAAACACATACAATTACCAAAAAAGCATAGCCTATGTGGGTACGCAAATAATGTTTTCACTCACACAGTTAATTAGAATTGAAAAGAGTTAGTCAAGACTTAGACAGCAGAAGCTATAGCAAAGTTCATGGACCAGAAACCATTCCTCTAGACATGCCTGCCCACAGGTGATACTTGGCTAAAGCTACTTGGAGCCCAGCAATACCCAGGAAGACAGCACTGAACTGCATCAGAGACCTGCTGCAATCTACAGTGATGGGTGAATTCTCCATAAACTCCAAGCTGAAATCAAGGGCTTGCGTTTTTCTTACAGAGATAATTTAGGAACCCACCCCTCCAAACTTCCTTTCAGTAAACGACCATGCTCTAAAGCTGAAGTATCTATGCTAGGAAGGAGAGCACGTGCTTCTGATGCTGATCAACCAGAAACGGAAAAACAGCATCAATCCAAACATCCCCACTACTGAAAATTTAGTGTGAGGCCATTTTGAAACATACCAAACAACAACGTAAACAAGTACTAAGAACTCTTTTGCAAGACAGAAAAAGACTTAGAAACCAGATTACCTATTTTGCCATTGTATATATCAGTATCAACCAGTATCAAACCAAGTAGCTGGAAGCAGATATGATCTTTTGTCTAGTGGCCGTACACCGGGAGAAATAATCACTGAAAAACCACATTTTCTTCCACAGACTTCCAGGAAGAGAGCAAAATTCCCCTGTCCTGGAAAGGTCTCATAGCCTCTCTCTCCTCACTGTGCTTTCACACTTCAAGTACAGCATCAAGGCTTCATCAGAATTCAGTCCTACTGGTTATTTTATTAGCATTTACTTATTAATTGCAGGTTACAAGTGTCTCAATGAAGTCTAAGTTTAATCAGAAAAGCCAATTTTCCAATATGCACTGTAACTTTCTCCAATTTCAGAGTTTTGAAAAAGCTCCAGAATTACACTAAAAGTTCACATGATCTTCTCTAAAATCATCACACATCCTTGAAATTAAGATAATTACCTGAGAAAGGTTTCCAAGTGTTTTAATTTCAAAAAAACCGTGAATTTCCAAGTCATAATGAGGATGTTGTAATTGTGTACTGTAACTAAAAGTCACGTGCCTTTATACTGCATAGTACTTCACTTGTCTCAATACAATTTTAGGTTTCTTTTTTGCAAATTCAACTTATCACCATAAGCAGAAGACGTGGAGAACCAGGAGAGTAAGACGACTAAACCTGAACTATCTCAGAAGGGCTTTGATTGGTTAAAGATCACTAACGACATTTGAAATACATACTGAAAAACCCCAATACAGTAATACAAGCAAAATATAACCAGTGCTTTATGGGATTCAGAACTGCACTGTAGTGCAACCCAATCACTGCTTGTAAAACCGTGTCTTCACGCTAATGTCATTTAAGAAGATGTGGAAAAAGGAACAAACAGTCTTGGAACTAAACTTAGTCTATTCAAAGAGCTAACTCTCCTATACAGTTGCATACTTTTGTGTAATTCATCTTCATATTGCATATTATTTTTCAACCATGTCTATCTATTTTTACACATGTAGTATGCTTGTATCATACAAATCCATGAGTTCTTTGATTTGCTGCCAACCTCTCTATGTTGTGGTTGTAGACGATGTTTGGAAGGTACTGTTTCAGTTCTAGAGGAAAATGTCCCGGAACATCAAACTCTTGATAACACACGTTTGCTGCTTTTTCTAGAAATAAGAAAAAAAAAAGTCTCTATAACACAAAGGAAATATTAGATAGTGCTTAGAGATGTGTAAAAACATCAAATGTACTGCTACAAAAATAGCGGATGCCTCATCAGGCCTGAAAACCACTCCTCTGCTGGGACCTACTGCATTCACCTGAAGTCCTACTTTGAAATTTACACAACCAACTACACAACGAACTACAGGAGCTTAACTCAATTATCGCCTTGTATATGAGGAGGCACAGCTTGCTTAGCACCAGGGATAGCTTACAGCACTGTTAATGTTGTTAATACAGTGCTTGCGTTTACTGTTAAAGAAGATATTGAAAAACATTTTTCCTAGTGTCAAAATATGTCAGAAATATTGGGAGGAAATCCCAATCTGTCCAGCAGAAAGAGGGAAATCTTATTTCATGGACATTGGACCTGGAAGAAACAGTTTCATGGGACAGGCCGTGCCAGTCAGTACTTGGTTTGCTACTCCAGCAACTTTTCTGGATGCTACTTGGAGTCAGGGAATCCTCAGTGTAATGCAGGCTATGAAAGCCACTCAGAAGCTAGATATGGTAGGTATGGTATCAATTCAACTTTCTGTGTATCACAACCATTCTCATGAGTTACTTAAGACCAATAGTGGGACAGAATAAATAGTTCCCTTCCTCAGGTCCAACAGTGAGATCATACCAACAGTTGCATAGATTTTGTGCATAAATGTAAGGAAGTCAAAAAAAATTATTCAAAATGAGCAGTGACAGAATCTTACTGTACACGTCACTGTGCTTTTGGTTTTCTCATGAAGTCTGCTGGAACTAGATTGAGGAGCTTGATCTGAAACTCTGTGTTCTGCCTCAGCCCAGTGACCTTTGCCAGATATCCTTTCCCCCCATCTCACATTTTGGGGTGTGTGCCTTTCATTCTACCAGAAGGGAAACTGGGGGAGTTAGTGAGAAAAGAATGAGGGTATTTGATGTGATGTGTTGCTAAACTGAAGGATTCCAACACCAAATTGTGACAAAAAGTCTCAGAAATGTTTTATCCTGTAAGTGCTTATCTTGTTTTAAACAGGACTACTGTCCCCTAAGATCAGTACCCTATTCTCTGTGTTACCTCCAAAGTAATTTATATCTATAAAGACAAACTCAAGCCTCAAAAATTTACCTGGCAACTTACCATGTGAGCAGTTGTTGACATACTGTCCCACTGCCAGCGGGTTTTGCGGGGAAGCAGTGAGCCAGCTCTCATCACTCATCTGAAATGGGCCAAGTTGATCTCTCCTCCTGCAAGACCTGAAGTGACCAACAGCCTCAGTGTGAAACACTGCATCTTCACCTAAAAAGTTTTCTTACTTCCTCCTGTAGAAATGGCCACAGTTGCTGCATGAAGTTACAGCTGCCCGATCTGGTCAGAGACCCAACACTTTGATGGTACTTTAAAAAGAGTATTTAAACCTCCCTCTAGTGTGTGGTGTCTTTCAGACTCTGGTGGAAGAACCTGCACAAAACCACCATATACTTTTCCAGAAACCAACATCAAGTGTTACCATCACAAAAGTGTCAACTCATTTCACTCACCTCTAAAGATGCAAAGGCTTATTACAGTATTAGCTCCAAATTCACTCCCTAAATTAAAATCTGGTATTAGTAGGTATTAATATTCAAACTAGGTATTATTTTATAGTTTTGCTAGTTACTATTTTCTTTTCATGTCACAATGAAACACAAACTCTGCAAATTATATTTTATGGTTAAGTAAAGCAGCCCAGGCTAGCTGTGTATAATGGAAAGTTCAGACTGGACAACAGGCAAAGATTCTTCACCAAGAGGATGGCTGGTCACTGGGCTCCCCTGGTGTGGTCACAGCATCAAGTCTTCTGGAGTTCAAGGAATGCCTACACAATGCTCTTAGTCCTATGGTTCGATTGTAGGCAGTCCTACCAGAAGCAGGGAGTTGGACTTGATAGGCCAAACTAGGCAGGTTTGAGTAACAGCTCAGAAACATTTAAATCCTTTTATGCTACATCCTGCTTATTAAAAACTGATTTCTTTATAGGAAAGTCTCAGTACATCCAAACACATCTCTCTGGTGTTACAGATGAAGACACAATAAAGGATCACAACGGGCAACTCTTCATTGTTGTGTTGTTTGCATTATGAGATACACACAGGTGGGTGACAATCATGTAAACTCAATTTAGGGTAAGACAACAGAGAACTGACACTATCAGTACCCCTCTTTTAAATCACATGAGTGACAATCCCCCGTTTCTTTTGCTTACCTGTACACTGATCTTGATAGTCCTTTATCGTTCCCATCAATAAGGATGCCATCAATGCACCTAAAAATAAAGGGATTGCCAAGGGACTGGAAAAAGATGGGCTCATGCTTTCTGTATACTGTACCTGTTGCAAGACAGATATTATTATTTCAGAAGAAAATAAGTTAGCTGTTAGAATGGGCTTATGGTATCATTCAGTCCCATCCACACAGAAACTCAAAACAGTTAGGAGAGAAGTCCCTTCTCACTTAGTGACAGACATTTGTAAACCTATAAGCTTTTATAAACAACTTTCTGGGATGCAAAAAACCTCACACAACTAAATGAGCTGAGGTATGCCAAAGAGGGAAGCCATTGTAGGAAATCAAAAGAGAGAAGGCCTGACTCTCTTTGGGACAGGTAGATAAAGCCTTACAGCCAACTGATCTGCTCCAGAGAGAACATCAAGTGACATATGCTCAGGAAAACACAGCTGAAGATACTATGCTATTTTGTTACTACTGTGTCAGGACTCTGAAAAGCACACACAAACAGCAAAGAATCCAAAACACCAACCTCCACCACCCTACATCAGAGATTTTGCTTGCTACAGGAAATGGAAAATGACAAACCAAGAAGTTATTTCAGCAGACCATTTCCAATATCTGCAGAGAGGATTTAACCTGCCCCAGCTTCCAAGCACAGAAAAGCAAGAGCTGACAGGTTCGCAGCTTCTCATGGAACTGCTGTCCTGCAGCCCCCTCACATCCACTACACCTTCAGTACCCCTCAGTAGAAATCCTTCACTGCAGTCTCACAAGGAGCCAGGCAAAGGCTGTGCTCACAAACACAGGGTCCCTGTCCACAGGGTACCACACCCAGCCCACCACTCTGCAGTTTCCTTGATTCCCTTGAAAACCAAAGGTATTTCACCTGCTTATCCCCTTTTCATGCTAGAGGAGCTGCCAGAGGAGACTCTGAATGAACCTAGGCTCACATTTAGTATGTGCCTGAAATTTAAAGTGAGCTGCAAAGCAGCAGGACCACTGTTTGTGACTGTCACTTGACAACTGGTCAGTTCATCAGTAATCACCGTTCACCATTACAATGGTAATGGCCGTACACTCCGGCCTTGGCACAACAAAACGCCCAGGACTCGGATTGCTCCTGATCCTGCAGTGCTGGGACGAGCCAGAGACCACATGCAGGGGGTGATTCTGTTGACAGACGAAATAGAAACAAACCCAAAGCATGTCAGCAGAGCTGTCCTAGCTGGGCCATACTGATAGGATTACAAACCTTTCTAAGAAATGTATGCAAATACAGTTCCAAGAAATGAGGAGGAGGACAGAGGAGTGCTGATTTTTCCAAACATACTTTACAGAATTGTTCTGCTAAATGAACACTTTATTTTCATTCTCCAATTTGTACTTTTGTGCTTTGAAGAAGTTCCTACTCTTGTCTACTGACTCATGTGGAGATCTCAGAACCTCATTTTTCAGATCCTGAATCAAAAGGGAAAACCCAAGGAACTAAATTGTACTGTTCAGCTACTTGAAATTTCTCCCATGCATTTGTGTTTACAGAATCTGAAACAGGTTTTGTAGCAGCTAGGAAATCAGAGTTTAAGGACTAAAGTTTTTTTATAAATAAAATTTTCCCTCCCAGTTGCTTTGCTTATTTAAAAACCAAGTCGAGTCAGTTTAGAAAGATTCTTATACACCATAACTTGTGATTTTGTTAAGGAATGAGAGAAATGAAGCCCATAAAATAAAAATAAGCATGGAACTTTGGCATTCCATAATTAAATGGTTAGAAATCATATCTAAACCAAAAATAAGAACATTCCATTACCAGGATACATTGACACAACCGTCCCTTTTGGCACAAAACCTTTGGTAACAAAGACTCCAGTTCCAGCAGACACGAGGGAACTCCGGTCTCTACTAACAGTGAATCCCAGTGTGTTTAACAGAACTTCCTCAGGACTAAACACCTGCTGACTTCCATGGTTACATGAAGTTACTTTTGACCACTTCTGCTCCAACGTCAGTAATTCCAGATACTGACGTTTGACTTCTGGAAGTAAAGCCAAAATATCCGCTTGTCTACTGAAGTCATTTAGGAACAGAGCTTTAAATGTTTTCAGTAGTGTTTCAAAGACATCTTCATCAGAGATAATTTTGTCTTGAGAACTTTCAGGAACATATCGGAGGGTCCTGCGAAGAAAAGAAAGTATTTTAAAAAGACATATTAATATTACTTCCCCCCCCCCTCAAATAAGGAGAAAAGAGCTCTCTCTTGCAGCAGTAACTTAGATAAATTTTGTTTCGGACAATGCCTTTTTTATGCTTGTTCCAATTAAAACTGTTTTAACACTAAAATCATCTAAAGGTGCCACAGAAGGACTTTTTAGTTAAAACCAGTGCCTGCTCTACTATAGAACCATCATCTGTATATTTACTGCAAGTCCAGTAGATTAAACCCTCCTGAGCTCTCCGTGACAAATGCACCAAAAAACGAAACATAATTATTGAAATTTATTAAAAAAAAAAACCCAACACAAATAGTTCATCACACTATAAATGCGGTGAGGACAAACGTTACTCTGATGAGGAAATTTTAACTTTGTTACTTGTTTTAGTTTAGTGACTTATAACAATGTAACGATCATTTAAATTCAAACACTGCTTTTACGTTTAAAATTGGTCAAACACGCCTTTCAAAAATCAAAACCAAACACCCAACAATCAGCGTATCTAGTTTCAACGTTAAATACCATTTTAAATCTAAATAAGAGTTCCATGCCAGCCAAGGGACACCCCAAGGCCGAACCACTTCCCCGTGACAAACCCGAGCGGCGGCCTCAGCCCCTTCCGAGGAGGGGCAGCGGGGACTGGGCTGGCGCCGAGAGCTCCCCCCGCGCCTCACCTGCGCTGGCGGCGGAGGTTGAGGGCGAGCCAGGGCACGAAGCGGTACTTGTAGGCTGCCCAGCGGCGGCGCAGCGCCCTGAGGGGCCGCCACGCCATGGCGGGCACGGCGGGGCCGCCGCAGCCGCCCCGCCCCGCCCCGGACCGGCCCGGCCAATCCGCGGTGCGGGCACGCGCTGTGTGCTGAGCTGCCATTGGCTGTGCGGCCCCTCGGGGGGGCGGGCCCGGAACAGCCCCACGGGACGGGGAACTCAGGGCCCCTCCGGAGGTCACCACACCCCCCCCTCTCTGAACCATGGTACGTGCCCCTTCTGCCTCATATCGAACAACTCAAAAAGATCCCGTACCGGATTAAAAAAAATGGCTTAGAAATTATCGAGAACACTTTTCAGGAAGTATGACTCCACCACTTCCCCGGGCAGACCATTCCAAGGCTTAACTACCCTTTTACTGAAGAAATTATTTCTAATGTCCAACCTGAACCACGTGTCTTCTCGTCCTGTCACTATTTACTATTTACTCACCTGACTACAACCTTCCTTCAGGATTACTGCACAAGTGATGAAGTCTCTGAGCCTCCTCTTCTCCAGGCTAAATCATCCCAACTCCCTCACCTGCTCCTCATAGGACTTGTGCTCCAGACTTGTGATCTATGTCATAAAGAGAGTGGATCAATAGCCCAGACCTGAAACTTGTATTTCTGTCCACACTTTTGTCTATATTTGGCTGATGACCAGGAGATGCAGCCTGCTTATGAATGTGCAGGAGCCTGCTGCATTTACTGCACATCCACCTAGCCAGACTGAAGAGATATACTACAAATCACGAGCATTTACAACTTGGGGTCATAAAGCCTTTTGGTGCCACATTCTACCATCATTTATGTGTAACATAATTAAAAAAAAAAAACCACCAAAAACAAAACAAAAAAAAACCACGAAAAAACAAACAAACAAAAAACCAAAACCAAACCAAACCAAAAATCTAGTAAGCAAAACAATTGCTCAGCAATTGATCTTCAAAAATTAGCAAAGCCCCCCAAATCATTCTTTACAAATCATTAGAGGTGTCAAGATAAGGGTACCGTTATCACCTCTTTAGCCACTGTTGTCCCTCCTCTGCCTGGGTAACCACTTCCATAAAACTTACATCTTTGGATGCTGCTCCTTATCTGCAGTTCAGTGCCAGTGAATTGGGAAAAAATGAACATGTATGCATGTGTTTTACTTTCTTTGGAAAACATGGTGCAAGTGTTTGAGAATTGGTTTGGGGGTAAACAGAGAAATCACGCTCAGGGGTTACACTCCTATTGCCAGACCTGAAATTTTGACAAGAGTTTGGGAATTTGAGAAAGGTCCACCAAAGTAATGAAACAAGCTGAATTAAGTTCCTGTTTCAGAGCCTTGCAAATATTTATAAGCTGCATCTTGATTTACTCCATAATCACTTTAATTCTACTATTGACCTGGCACACCTTTTTCGAGAACAGGAGCTGAGCAATGAGGTATTGCAGACTGAAATAACTGAGGGAAACAGCAAAAGACACAGTGGCTGCCTCAAAGTGCTTCCCTGCCATCTCCTGGACTTCCTCGGTAATGACAGGGAAGAAAGGTCTCGGTTCAACTCCAGATATTAGCAGCTGTGTGCCATAACCAGAAAACAACATACATGTTCAGTACAGTACATGCATATTGTGGCTCTTAAAAGCAAGACAGTCACATTTACAATTCAGGTCGGCATGGAAAGCTAAACAGTGAGTGAAAAGTTAATAAGAGAAATAGAGTGCCTCGGGAGGGGGTCTGTGTCAGGTCACAACAGCCACGCACGCAAGTTGCCCACTCATGCGATGAAGGACACACATGATCTTCATGACACTCCAACATGTCCTGGAGGCAGTCGTTACCCTTCAGTGAGAACTCAGAAAGATGAAACATCAGACTTCAACCTATGACCATCATGTTAGAAATGTGACATTATTCCCAGCAGAGAAATCCAAACAGGCATAGAGCTTACTATTTTCCTGTGGAAGAACTGAACATGCCCTTTGCAAATGAAGACATTTGCTTCTCTAAGTAGGTGTCTTTGACTTTACTGCCAACTGCCAGGACAGGAGATCTCTGCCGTCCCTTGTTCCTAAAAAAGAGGCTGCAACGTTGTAAATATGACACAGTACTGCTTAATTCAGAACTTCCACAGTAAATCAAGTAAAGGCAAATACATTACAATTAATTTATCTTTTACTTCATCCTTGTCATATATTTTCCTTCCTGACATTTCAGTTAGCACATTTTTTTGATTTTAAAAAATCAGATATTAGAACTTTTCTGAAGATTTCTGCTGCCAGTTTTTGTTGGTGAACTGGTATGTTGGTCCCTATCTGCAGAAAGTCACATAACTAATGAAAACTACAAAAAGTGTAATCCTCTGAAGTACAGAATTTCTAGTCACAAAAAAGGCTATAGTTGAAAATTGTGTTTCATAAAAAAAAAATTATTATTTAAAAAATACCTGGAGAAAGACAATCAGGTTAAACTAGCCCTAGCTTTGCAGTACATAGTCAGATTGCCTGAACAAGGAAGGGCTTGATGTGCTGTTTAAATTGCAAACAACAGAATCATTGCACCAAAACCATAAAATAGCAGATTAATTTCCAAGATGCACTTCAATGGCTCCAGAACTGATCTAATCAAATCAGCTTACCCGACTAGGTAATTGTTACATTTGCAGTAATGCAGAGTTTAGACATTTAATTCCTGACTTAAAGGCAGGAAAAAAATGAGGTTCGTAAGTAAGTGTTGTCAGAAGAGAAGTTCCTATCTTCATCATCAGTTAAAAAAAAAAAATTAGTCTTTGTTGCTGCCCCTTATCTAACCATTCTTTATTGATACATCCAAGATAGATATATATATGTGTGTATATATAGGTCAAAACTCATTCATATCTTATTTAATATTAGAAAACAAGTCTTGATATATGAAGTGTGGTTATGAAATTGTGCATTAACAGTCAAGTGTACCAGAAATATTTTACATCGGTAAACTGAACGTACTGACATTTTAATAAGCAAAGGACAAGATTTGTTCAAAAACTTTTATTTACTATAAAGACAAAAACACCAAAATACGTACAAATTATACTATATAAAATTGGTTCAATGGGGTAAAAACTTTTAATTAAAATATCTCGATATATTTAAAATAACAAAGGATACAATGAAGCCAAATTTCTTAACCCAGAGATTTCTGTAAAATTTGCTTGCACAGTAAGGTGCTAATAGAAGTTAGCCCTTAAGCCCTGGAAGTCTTAGGAATCAGTCACATAGCAAATATAATTTCATTGTGAAAGTGAACTTTGGTAGAAGAAACTCTATAGGACACCTGAGGTAGTAGAAACTGGAATAAACAGCAGTAGACGTTATTTACAATTTAAGTACCAAATAACATTAAGAACACAAAAAAATAATTACACAATACAATTTTCAGTCCAGCTTTGATCCAAAGAAAATAAGAATATTACATCACATCTGCATTTTTAAAAACACCACAATTACCAGTAAGCTGAGCGAAACACAAACTCAAACAAATGCATTTGGACACCTAAGAGGCAGTTTGAGTTTGAAATGTGGTAGGCATGGTGATCTACTAAGTAATACTGATTAGCTGAGGTTCATCAGTTTATACAGTTTACATTTCTGCCAGAAACAGTATTAATCTGACAACTGATCTTCCAGTACATGAATTGGCAAGAGTGCATCCTTTAAAGCTTGCACATAAGACTTGGAAATAATCTTATTAGAATGAAAAATTCTAAAGTGGTCAAAAAAAAAGTCAAGTACAAAACAGAGCTACCAAACTTCACATTTCAGTATTATCTTTTTAACTCTTCAAAGTCTGCCAATTGTCCAAAACAAAGGAATGTAAAATTTCCAAAAGAAACACATTCACAACTAATGACACCTTTTTTTTTATTAGTATGAGCACTATCATTCCTGTAAACTTATCTTTAAGATGTTTTACTTCCAATTTGTATTATACATTTTTAAGGTACTATAGCTTATTTAGTTTGTCCTGAGTTTTTGAAAATAACCAATCCTATTTGAGTCCAACAATCCAACTGGCTTCTGAAGAGTTATAACATGAACAGTATTTTTTTCAAAATGGATTAAACACAATCAGTATTAGATTAAAAAAGATCCCCATTTTTAAAAAAGCAAAAGAAAAAGCTGCCATTTTCCTTCAGAATTACATGCATCAGAATCTAAAAACCTGCCTTTAAAATAATTTTAAAAACTTAAAAAAAAATTCCACAGCTGCTAAAAAAACCTGCAAATTTTGCACTACAGGTGAAGCTTTACTTCACATTTTACTTTATCTTGCTCTTCAAGTCCAAGTTTGTTTCTTGTTAAAATAAATACCTTTCTTACGGTAATATTTTTAACATTTTCAAATTAAATTATCACTAATGGCTACAGTAAATAGATGATGTACGGCAGAAGGAAAACAGCAGGTAGAACTTGTTATCAGTAGAGAATATAACCTCAGTTTCTTTACACAAAGAATGAGATTTGCACATTTGGCACCTGCTCACACTGAAGTACATGTCAAAGCCTCCCATAAAAACTTTAATTGGAGCTGGGTTTGGGGTGGCCTTTGACATGAAACTTCTCTACACGATTTGCCAGAAGAAACTGCTATATGTAAATAAAAAAGGCTCAACAACTTCTAGCATGGTTTAGACTAAGTTGCTTTATACAGAACAATCTTGTTTATTAAATAACCTATACTATCAGAGCCTTCAACACATCCTTGTTGAAGGTGGCATTTTATTCCAGATTTCCAGCAAATCTGGTTTTAAAACTCTTGTGTCAGGAAAATATTCCATGACACAGCTTGCATCTTTTTGTCTAAAGACTAAAATATCCCCTTTTCATGAAAGTTAAAAATACAAAGAAAACAAACTTTAATTTCAAGAGAAATTACATGGCCAGTAAATGCACAGTGAACCACAAGTGCCTGCTCTTACTTTATAGGAAGGCAAAATGCTTTTTCTTTAAAGTTTCCATCAATATTTGGATTTGTTACTCAGAGAACATCATGTAAAAGGACAAATACAGAATGTCCTTTTAGCCAGTAC